GGACATGTTTTGCATCATCACCCATACGACTTGTTGTAACTTATAATGATGGGCAAAACTAAATTCAAGAGACCGGCTGGTAGAAGGAAGAAGTCGTGGTTGCGGAACGTACGGGAGTAGACCGGCATCACATCCGTCGAGGAACTTTTTAGACTAGCGCAAGATACCCGGCAATTCAATTTGTCAACAGCCAACCTTTAACAATATTATAATACTAACTTTTCTGCTCCACACGAGGTGTGTATATGTACCTATAGTAATCAACCACAATAAAGGGACCATTAAAATATTTTTTATTCGTGCCATTAGTTCCTAAAAATAGTGCGTTTAAATAAGCTTTTCGTTATCTATATAGATGCAATGGACACGATTATTGATATAATTCAAAGGATTGTTTTTTCAATTGAAACGACGACGTACCGGTTACAAATGTGTTTGAATCAGACAAGGAAAATCCGTAGACAAACCGAATCACTTTCGATTTCTTGACGCCATTCCCTCTCCTGTCACGTATATCATCGAAGCGATTGTCACGCCGCCAGCCGTGCAGGCGGAAATGTTAACCTGCGTATGTACATATGTATAATATAATTGAGACAATTCTAAAGATGATAAAGATTCATTATGAAATAAATTTTCCCATCTTTTTTATACTGTATAATATGTTATACTAATTATAAAAGTGGGTAAAATTTGTATAAAAACAACTTTTGCCCAAGTAACTAAAACCATAGTTTATTATGTCCGATTTATCTTTATTCAAGTCACACTACTAATAAAATCAATAACGAATATCAGAAGTCTAATCAAAACAAAAAGAACACTGGCGAAGTAGCAAACAGTACTAGCTATCTTTTATGCTGAGTTGGCATAAAAGGCACTCGTAAACTTTTGGAAGGAGCAAACAGGTATAGTTAACTGATTCTTAGCTTGTAGACTTACGAATTACCAACATGTTTTTGTTTACACAAATGTTAAACGGATTAGTTCTCGCATAACAAAATAATGTCAAAACGAATGGCTAACGTAATAAAAAAATATCGACACTTATGTATGGAATACTTAAGCGTTTTTGGAACCAGCCTTGCGATTCTGTTCGATTTTCGAACTCACACAGCGGTTTTCGCAGCGGCGGTCGCGCTCTTATCAGTCGTGAAGCAGTCATTTTACGATTTAGCATTCTGATAAACAATAAACTAGAAGCTCCCTCCCTGCGCAAGGCAGATGGAAAATGCATAATTTGGATAGAATATGCCCAGTATTTAAAACTACTTGTGATACATACTGATAAAACGAATTACTAATGCCTCATGCATTTGCAGAAGGTCAACAATTAAACGAAAACCATTTCATATATCGATAATAAATATTGAATTAAATTGACTTTTCATTCCTTAATATGCTTGTTTTTAAATTATTTGCATAGGAGGAAGTTTAGATTTCTAGACTTGTTTTGAGTAAGAACACAATTTGAAATATTAGGGTTTCTATATGTAGATTTCATTACTGGGTTTTGTAAAATTTCCATCCTAATAGGCTAGGGCGTTTAAGCTCGGTATTACCGCCTGCCTCAAAAACTTCCTGTTAGAATAGACATCCTGAATTTAAAGTTTTAATGATATTACTCTAACAAATACGTAGTAGTCATAGAAGGAAGATGCAAACAGGAACCCATCGTTATATTTCGTTCTTGTTCGTGTTTTTATAATAATTTTTATACGATACACTTGCCTTCTTAACAAAAATTATTATCTCGAAGAGATTTTAATCTCCTATTAAATCCAATTATTAAAACATATTTTATGCATATAGCGAACTAGCGTCGTTGACACCTCTTTAGCACACAAAAAAACATTTAATTGAAAACCTAAAACATTCTCGAATCCACTATTTAAGGAGAAAGTCTAGACTTATTTATATAAATATGCATGCCTACAAATTTATATGAAGTTTAGTTGCACATTTGTAGACGTATAGATAATTTGCTATTGATTCATCGAAGACTTTCTAATTGAGCATACAAGACACATTAGTTCTCAGCCTGGCTTCGAACTCACGTCCTCAGGATTTAGAACTGTACTAGTCTTACTAGGTCTACGAATCAATAACAGTTAATAAAACATATGATATCTCCCCACTTAATTTAAAAGCTTACACGATCCTGCAAAACCTTACGACAAAATACGGCCGAAGTCGTCAGAAAGCTTAAAATGGCTGCTAATGTTCTATATCGTTCTATGGTTACATTTCATTCCATAAAACATTTCACCCAAGCCAAAAACAAATATATAATATTATTATTATTGCCAATATTTAATGGTGTAATGGTTGCAGCTCTTTACAAACGTTGTGTAAAAAAAAAAAAACTTGGCGATTAAAAAGAGTGGCGGAGAGTTTATTGCCAGTTCTTCTCTTCCGTTCTACGATCTTGATTTGAGAACTGGCAGTAAATGTAAAATTAGAAGCATTAATATTTATTTCTTTAATGACGAATCACAAGTGTACATTGTGTTACCTACGTGAATAAATGATTTTTGAATTTGAATTTGAATTTAATTGTTTCATGTATTATCAAATTAGGAAATTAGACAGCTCAGTAGTAAACAATATTTTTGGTCAAATACGCGTTGTCACGCGTCATGAGACGCCATATTACGACCGCGAGTCAAAATCGAACGCAATAAATTGCATTTAATTTGGTAATGTGTTAAGTAGTGTAGTCTTAAAATTATGACTTTTACTAAACTCGGTGCTATTAAATACTACACTTATTAAATAAAAAAAATAACTCAAAACAAATAATCGTCAGGATTTTATATAAGGGAAATGATTAACGAAACTGTCGGTGTTGCCTAATATTTTGGTCTCTTGCGATCCTACGTGCCATGATCACGGTTTGACTCATTTATATGACAGTTGCATATATATTTTTATGTCTATATATCTATAAATTCACAAAAACATTAATATATGTGCTCTAGGTGATTTTATCCTGCAATGGGCTTTTACCATAAGACTGACAAAAGAGCAAGAAATTACTGATAATAAAAGGTTTTAACACAGTTTTTGGTCTCAGACATAGGGATTATTTTTTTCTGCGTTCGGGTACATACTTCGATTTCGGTACAAGTATGTGTGTGGCTATTTTGTTTTTGTTTAATTTATTTATTAGGTCACTGTCTACTGGCCAACGTCAAACCATTATTCGATTTTATGACCCTCGTAATATGCTGTATACGCTTAGCCATTAATTTAAAGAAGTAATTTAGTACAAAATATACAACAGGATCTATATGAAAAGCCTGTTACTCCACAATCACCGAAAAATGAGAAATCTCATAGTAGTTTTTCAACAAACTACACTTAATGATATTTTAAATCACAACTTCAGTCACAGTTTTAATTAACTCCTCGTTTTAATTTATTATTGCAGAAAACTTTAATATCAATTTCTTTGCAATCCGAGAAATACCGCAATTTTTATACGCGAAACTCAAATATTTAATTTATCCTACTTGCAAACATTTCATTCATAAAAAGAGAACATTCAAACTCCGAGCTAACAAGACAAAAGTTATGAACCATCAAAACTTTACCATTTTTACGAACGTATCTTTTATTTAAGAGTGCAAAACAGCAAATAATTTCGCTTATTCTGTTGCAACGGCAAATCATATTGTCCTTGAATTGGAGATACTTTTGGTTGTAGTACATTGAAGCGAATTTCCCAATCTAGGTTGAGTATTCGGCAACCTGCCAATTCAAGAATGTAGTTTCGATTTTAACTTTTTTAGTATGTCCTCTTTTTATGTCCTTAAATGGTTACAATATATGATGGTATAAGTTATACTCACCGTTAATTTAAAGTGCTTCAAAGGCTGGACTTGTCGTTTTAGGTATTTTGTTGATATCTATATAAGATTTATGTAACAGATAAACTCAAAAATCGACTGAATTTATTTCCAAAAATATTTAAAATAATACGAGTAAATGCTCAGTCGCGTTGTGTGATTTGTGATAAAACATTACGTGTTTTTGTGTTTAGTACATTTCAAGGATAAATAGAATGGTTTATTTATTCCATTATCAATATCTCATGTAATGTCTAACATACAAACGTGCACTGTTAGACATTACAACGTATACTATCTCCTGATGTGTGACGAAGTGAGATACTATTTAAAGGTAACAGAGTGTAAAAATTATGTAATAGCTAAACTGGTTAAGGAATGTTTAAGGAATGTTTAAGTATTTGTTCTCGTTATTTTTTAAGTCAATGCCAAAAAGAATTAAAACCCTTTTTAAATCCGCATTATTTTACCTCTATTGTCCATAATCGGAGACAATAATATAGCTGTTAAGTTCTTGAATAACTGTATGTTAATTATATTTTAACGTTTAAACTAACAGCTATTATGCAAACGCTAAGCCAAAGTGATTGTATATAATTATTCGTTTAGCTATTACCAAATTATAGTTTGATTACGCATATGATCCATTAAAGTGGTCATTAGCAAGCAGTCATGAAGATTGAGGCTCGCCCGATATCTCACGTTATATAACGATATGCTTCCACAGATTTACAAGATCAAAACAATTCGTACGAGAAAGGAGTTTTTCGAGCTTGCTTACTCTCCGGGCATACCTTTCACGACAGAAATACTACTTTCAGAAGTGATGTAATGTTCCGGACCACACATTCCCAATTATACAAACACAAAATGCATTACATTATAATTTTTATTACAAAAATAAAAAAGCTATACATAAACATAACAGTCGCAATACTTCATTTGAATAACAACACTGTGCACTAATAACAAGTTAATGGCGGACGTAAGGGGTACGTCTTAGAAGCTCGAGGTTGGTGGTGATGACTATTTACAGAGGTCCAATCGCGAGCTTCCAGTGGCAGGTCAATCTGTATTCATTAATCTAGGTCTTGATTTCGCTAAGCAGCTTAATTTTATCGTACCACCTTTGTTAGAGCCAATTTCGATTTAATGTAGTGGGCCAGCCACATGGCCTGGGGGTCCATACTGGGAGCTGGTGACACCGTGACCAGCTGATGCACTCTCGTCAGAACCACTTGCACCGAAGTCTCCAGAGATTTCGCTTCCATGACCGGATGCACCACCTTCGAGAACAGCGCCTCCGCTGATAGAATTGTAGTCACCACCACTGATAGAGCCACCACTGATAGCACCACCCCCAATAGAACCACCTCCAATAAGACCGCCTCCGATGGAACCACCACCGATAGCACCACCAATAGCAGCGTCGGATTCCTTCTGAGTCTGGTATTTGATGAAGTAAACTTCTGGTTTGGAGGGTTGAGTGGGAGCTGGGGTGGGGATGACGATATCTTGCTGTTCTTCGGGTTTTTTAACCAGAACGTATACGAGGGTCTTCTCTTCGTTCTGAGACTGAACGGGAATGATGGGGGCAACGGGAGCAGGAGGGGTTGGGGCCTTGATGAAGATGATCTTGTAGTGCTTTTGTGGGGGAGCAACTGGGGTGATGCGGGGCAGTCTCTGTTCCTGGGGTTCTGGAGGTGGAACGTGAACGTAGATATGCTTCTGTACTAAAGGTGCACCAGAGTATCCTCCAGCGTAGCCACCACCAAAACCGGCATCAGATGCAAATCCTCCTGAAACGCTCCCACTGCTGAAGCCTCCTGCTGAGAGTCCACTTGAGAATCCACCTGAATGGGCTCCAGAGACACCTCCGAACGAAAGGCCAGATTGGCCTCCAGAGACACCACCGAATGAAAGGCCAGAGTGGCCTCCAGAAGGTACTCTTATCGCTCCAAGAGATGGGGCTCCATAGCTGCCTGATGGAGCTGAGTGCCTTGAGGGGGCTGGGTAGTTGTACCCGAGTGGGGCTTCAGGCCGCCCGTAGGCAAGTGCCACACAGGCAAGGATCTGTAATAGAAAGTCAAAGTCTTAATGAACCCTAATATCAGTTTAATAAATATGTATTAAATGGTCAGCGAATTTCTAAATCAGCGAAGATGATAATAAGATACAAATTAATTGGCGAGCTTATCTCTGAATTGATTAGTATAATTTAGCTGAGCAATGTCCGATTACGATGTTCAGTGGTCTCACAAGAGATGATATCGATGCAGCGAGAAGATCGCGATAGGATGACGTAATCGAGTTGGCTACAACGCGGTAAACAATTTGAAATGGATCGATTGCGTAACATAAGTATTTAGTATTTGGGTCAGAATCGCAATGTTACATGTAAAACGATATATGGAATACAAATGAACTCTTTAATTCCATCAAGTTTTATGTACATGACAATTAAATGGTAATTGTATACATTTAAAAACTGATGCAATTATTTATGAGACGCGATTTAACTTAATTTTCATTTCACCAATACTTCAATTTAACGAACCTTTCTAATGTTTTAACAGCATTAAAATTTACATGTTATTTATTGAATTTTTATTCCCGTATCATCCACTACTTGGCGGACTACAGGCACTTAATACTGAACACTTCACTGTTATGATAGAATTTTGAAATATAATATTTTTAAAACGGGTTGCGCCAAATTGGCTCTGACGGAACTTCCGGTCAACTTACCACAAATGCGCGCATCTTGTGCGTGGGGTAAACAGAAACTCTGTTAAAGAGCTAGATGCAACGTGCCACTGAATCCACAGTAGATGTACCTGGCTGTGTGAGCTCTTGGTAACTGATGACATTCGCCACACCGACTCGCTCTTAAATACCAATGTGCTCATCTCGACCGAATACTCCATCCCTACGGACATTTCACTATAACTTGCAACTATCGTCATTATTCACTATCCTTTCTTTTCAACAAGGTGGTCTGAGCGCATTCGATGTGCTGCCTTAGCACCGTTCGCATTCTCCACACACTGGCCGTGCCTTGTGGGGTGGTCCGTAAATTAAAATTTTTGTATTAAAAAAAATATTAATTTAAAAGTGTATAGTCTAAAATAAAGTATGACCTCTTTTAATACGCTTACCACTTTTATTTTATTTGTTGTTTATTGTTTTTTGCTATTGCAATATATTTTTTAAAGAGTTTACAAGTTTGAAGCGATTTAATATAGAAAACCTACAAACTACTATGTTCAATCAATCAATATTCAATTATTAGCGACAAAAACTATTATTTTGACAGTAGACTAGACTAATCCATCTTTTTACTAATTAAGTTTGATTGACTTTCACGATATTATGAAATCTCTAAAATCTTATCGAATTGTGAATGTCCTTTACCTTCAACCGAGAAATATAACAAATTAGTCCAGTTTTCGCAATGCTCATTAGCATTGTGTCAATTTCTTAATACATATTCAATGACAATTTCAATAAATTTTTTACACAGTGAATGTGGGTAAAACTAGTTTTCGGACAATTATAACAAAACATAATTTCGACCTTTATTAATAATTAAATTAAATCAATTATTTTCAATCTTTCTAACGTGGAAAAAAACAAATAAAATATCTAATTATAACACTAAAATAATTTGAAAAAGTTTGTTCCCTGTGTCAGAGTATCCTTAATGCTGGCAGTATTGCGGTGCTTATATGGTAAACGAGAAAAGCACCAACATGTAACTGGGACTGTCTACCAGTCGTGAACATATTTTTTTTAAATGTGCCTTTGCACCTGTGGGTCACGAGAGTCTCTACTCCAAAGAAAACAAAAACAAAGTTGGAGGAAATACTCATGTATTTTTGCCGTCGACGCTTAGCAATGAACCACTAACTTAATATTTTATTAATATGTATTTTTTATATCGATAATAATATGATTAAAGTAAGGTCGTAAGATAAGGTCCACCTGCTGTTAATTTTTTAAATCAGGCGTTAATTAATCGGGCATTTTAATATTCGTAGTTGCAATCCAACAGACATAATAATGATAAACTACTACTAAATATTATTTAATAGACTACTCTGAATATTACTGTGAATCACTCCTTTCCAAATACGCAATGATAAGTCAGAAAAATGGGCCTTTATTTACCAAAATAATGCAGTGTATACCAGTAATTATTTCTAGAACTATATTACTATGCTATCATAGTACTTAAAAGTAAATCCTTATAGAATTAGAATAAAGGTATACATTTATTTATTCATCTCACCAAGCAAAAGTATTTAAGTAAAAAATATATAAACGGAAACAATAATGGAACTAGACATCGCACGTTTAATTAATTGGTTTCATGGCCCTACCAATGGAAATGCTCAAAGCTTCATCGAGACCTAATCAAATACATAAATAGTCTCTTATTTAATAACACACAAATGTAGAGTATCTACAATATTCATTCACCGAAACAGTTATTAAAAATGGATAAATAGAAAACAAACAAATTTAATTTATAAAGTTAATACACAAATTACATTTGGTAAAACTGTAATAATATACCTTATTATGTGGGAACAGCAATTTGATACAATGTTACCTAATACGACATCTCATAATTATTGTGTTAATTACTAGTAACCAGCATGCCCTTATTAACAACAGAATAATTTTAAACGAATACAAAAAAAACTCTAAGGAGGTTTTATTACACGTATAGGGGATTTTTGTGTACGTTCAATCATCTCCGACTGTGGGCCAATCGGGTTTTTTTTAAAAGACTTTATTGTATCATCAGATCTATCATGAGCAGGGTTAACCTAGTGGTTCAATAATCCTTGGGTCGTGTGTTTTAGCACGGCCGTGCACCTTCGCCAACTAGAGTTATCTTTTTTTTTGTACGTAACTACGGTAAAGGAAAAATACGGCGAGGTAGGCGTTTTCGCAGAAGTTCTAAATACGCCAAATGGGGTGCATAAGTTTTCAATATAAAAATATATCGTTCCATTACAAAGTATCTTTTATTATATTTATAGATCGTGCCTCAGCATGTCTGTCTAGCCTGGACAGCTTATCAGATGCTTGCCTATGATAAAAATAATAAACTGGTATCTTGTAATAGTAGCTAATGCCCATTGACGTCACACAGTCAAAGTTTCATAAAATTTTTGTTTAGCAAAGTACTATTTATATATTTCTTCTGTCTCAGAAAAAAAGAAGAATAAAGCATTAAAAGGTCGCCATAATACATATTTTTCATATTTTTTATTATTCTAACAAATAAGAATAAACGTCATTTTAGCCATTTCCCTAAGTGACAAATGCACGGACACGATAAAACTATTAGCGAGCTTAGTTGTTTAAAACCACGCTGAACTAAAATTAACATTATACACATATTTTCACTTAGGGGTTGTTTTAATTATAGCATTAATAGAGACTAGAAAAACGAAATGCCTCTGGTGGTAATAATAGTAAATAATAATAAGAGCCTTTATTCATCTACATATTATTTATATATATATTTAACAAAATTGGATATAAATAAAATTCTATAAACAACTTTATTCACCCTATTTTATTTTTTGTCATCGTCATCCAATTTTTACCAGCTACCTTTTCGATCCCGTCGTCTCTCTATTGGTCGGTCCTTGTTCCTTTTTCCTTTTGGAAAAGTCCATTACATTTGTTTTAGACCATCTGTCATCTGTATAACGGCCTACGTGCCCTGCCCATCTCCATTTATGTTGTACAAACTTGTTATTATATAAAATGCTTATTAAAAGTGCGTCGTAAAATATTTAGAGCCAATACTTAACTCATACGGTTGCTATGCTTACTTAGGAAATATAACATAATTTTTTTCATTGTATTTTTTTTGTGAGAGGCGAAGTGATGTACATTAAGGTCTACAAAGCTGTACAATTTATAAGTGTTTTACTGTAACCAAGACCGAGACTGTATTGATACAGCATTTTATTTTCATTTTGTTGTCTACATTGAATGCGATCAAAGTGACATTATTTAAGCCATCTTAAAAGAGATTTTGTATATTGTTTTCATACGTCATACGAGTGACGTAGTATTTGGGTTTAATGATTATATTTTAGGGACATATTGACAATTGAAGATTTTTTTTCAAATAAATATTATGCGAAATGATTGGAGGCTTAATATTAAAACGTACAGTTTTTCCTGTAAGGAAAACTTAAACTAAGTGTCGAATAAATTAGTTTTTTTTTAAATCGAATGTCATGGTCATCTACTTATATGTAACACCAGCAGATGGTGTATGTCATGGCGAGTAGCATCGTGCATGGGCGTTGATAATAACTCCGATGCAAATAATGTTTATATGCGTCCATTATGAATAAGAAACGACAGTCTCTCGTTAGTTCCTGCGTAGTCGATTTTATACATATGGCACGAGAACTCATATTACATCAGGCGAGCGTTCTGCTCGTTTGCCGCCTGTTCTATGGAAAACAAATATAATCGATAGTTATAGTGACATTTCAAATTAAGAATTTCCTACGAATCAAAGTATAGACAAGTACTGCACTATGTGTAAAACATTGTAGTTTTTTTGTATTTGACGTGGCAGCTTCCTGACGGGATTTACCTCGTTGTTTATTGTGCATATACCAAGAAAAATAAACCGTCACCCGAGTTAAAATTCAGGACCTCAAGTTTCAGTTGCACGCATCACTGCACGCTAACATTCGATTTTACTAAAACTTATTCATAAGAATACGCGCTGACGAAAAAAGCAATTAAATACAATGTTATGCTTGCATAAATATTCTTAACACATGGACTCTACATTTTTTTAGTTTTGAAAGACCATTCACAAAGACATTTCACAAAAGAATGAATATTAAACTGTACATTATTGTCCATAATGTAAAAATATAATGTAATAGCTACTACGGGAAATATACACGGCCGTGAAAATATCAATGCTAGGCAAATTTCTTCTTTATTCCCATAACCGCAGGCTCGTTTGGGCAAGCGGGGTCAAAGGCACTCACAACGTAGCTCATTAATCATATGTATAACCTTGGTTGACTATTTAATACTGTATTTCCCTTTCAGTTGGTGTATTCAAGGCTTACTACACATGTCAGTTTATTTTCCATACGATTGTGTGTCACGTGGAAAGACTCTGATTTAATTTCTCTGGGATTAAATTAAATTATTATTCATTTTGATTTAATATTATTTTCCAACGAATTTGACAGATTATATAAATAAGATCGGTAGGGTTAAGAGTTTCTATATTATATCTCTATATATATATATGAGCAGTGTTGGCTAGTGGCTTCAGCGTGCGACTCTCATCCCTCAGGTCGTAGGTTCGCTCGAACGGTGAAGGAATATTGTGAGGAAATCGACATGTCTACGACCCAAAAAGTCAACGGCGTGTGTCAGGCACTAAAGGCTGATCACCTACTTGCCTATTAGATTGAAAAATGATCATGATTCAAATTCAGAAATTTTAAGCTAAGACCTAAAGAGGTTGTAGCGCCACTGATTTATTTATTTATTTTTATTTTCGATTACAGCTCATCTATACACATTTCTAACCCGATTTAGATTTCCACCCCTTTTATAGACATAGATTAGTACAGAAACGAAAATACATCTTTGGCATTCAAACCCAGTACTTCCTGTGTTACAAAAGTAACGGTGATGGTTTGACCTTGATATTTGATTACAGCTCATCTTAAATCATTGATATGAACTCT